AGTAATTCAAGAAATTATTTACAAAAAATAGTCTTTTGGTGCTTGAAAAACTAGCCATGTTTCCGAATGCTACTAAATGATCCAGATACAATGGTAAATAGTTCACTGGATGGAAATACTGTCAGTGAATAAGATAAATGTCAATCTTTTTTTCAAGTAAAGCTCTCAAAATGGCTTCAGAAGACCCCGAATAAAGCTCACATCACTTTTTTTTATTCTTTTATGACAACTTTTATCCAACAGTTATCCTTCATTGTAACCAAATACACAGGACTTTCTCCATCCTTCAGAATTCCTCCTTTTGAGTTCTACAGAAGAAGGTCATACAGGTATGGAAGCCCGTTTCCACTACTGAAAAAAAAGAAATAAAGGTAATTGCAACTTTTTATCTCACAAAAAAGTTTTGAGTTTTTATTTCTCACAACGAGTTATAAAGTCAGAATTGTGAGATATAAACTCGCAATTGTAAGAAAAGAAAATCAGTTTGTCTTTTTTCCCCTCTGAATTGGACTTTATGGGCCCTATTTTAATGATCTAAGCGCAAGGTCTAAAGCGCACGGCGCAGGTGCACTTAGGGCGTGTCCAAATCCACTTTTGCTAGTTCAACGACGGGAAAAATGGTCGGCGTGCCCAGTGCATGGTCTAAAAGGTTTGTCCCTATTCTCTTAATGAGTAATGGGTGTGTTTTTGGGCATAACGTGCAATCAGAGTCTCATCTCCCATTCCCTTTAAGAGCCAGTTGCGCTTGTGCCATGGCGGATTTGCTATTTACACGGCAGAATTTGCAAGCGCAAAGACAGAACGCGTCTCCATATGAGGAAACGGATCTGCTCGTGCGCGAGCAAATAGGTAGCCTAATTCTGATACATGCAATGACTATCCATTATGACATGTAGGCATTTTTATATTTATGTAGCCTACACAATAATAATCTTTTACATTGCAATCCTTTAATTTGTAATATTTGGCATGTTTGTGTGCTGCTGTGCGTCCCTGTGTGTGTAATAAGCAGAGTGTAAGTGCGTTGTGCACCCGCCTATACTAACGCGCTCTTTAAATAACAAAAAAACTACTGCGCCATTGACTTTAGACCAGGTTTTAGTTGGTCAATGGTGCAGTCTATTTCAGTTGCCTCAAAATAGCAACGCGCCAACAATGCGCCTGAACACACCTTGTTTTCAGACCAGCACGCCCATGAGCGCACAAATGGGCGCAAATGCATTTGCTATTTAAACAATGTGGCACAGGACGTGAAAATGATAACTGCGTCGGACTGAAACTACCAAAAAACACTTGCGTCACGCCCATAACTCACAATTGCAAATTTATATCTCACAATTCTGAGAAAAGCAAACAGAATTGTGAGATATAAACTCACAATTGTGAGAAAAAAAAGTCCGAATTAAGTTTTTGAAAAATTTTTATTTAGTGGCAGAAATGGGCTTCCATATGCAGGTTTGAAACGACATGACAACAGAACATTACTATTTTGTTTAACATTAATGCAAAGGCTGGGAATTTTTTTAAAAAACAAGACTAATTATTGACGTTCAACCTGAATGTGGCATTCTTGTCAAAAAAATGTACCAACTAATGAAGCCATTTTACAGAGAGCGACAGATGACATCAACGCCCTTCTGCCTGCCGACACCCCCGATGACTCTACCCCATTGCCGCCTGGAGGAGACCCTTCAGGTAACGAACAACTGACACCTGGTCAACTGTCTGAAAAGAATGAGTGATGGGCTCATTTTAAAAACCACATGTTGCTCACAAGAGCTCTTATTTGTTCATGAGTTATGTCTATGTGAGTGGGAAGTTTCATTAACTTTTCTGTTTTTAATACAATTTTCTACATGTTCCAGACCTTCCAACTTGTTTACTGTGTGTGTGCCTAACTGGATCTGTCTACTGTGAGGAGGTCGACCCAGATATGACGTCAGTGCCTGCTCTGCCAAAGGAGACAAACTACCTCTACGCTCGGTACAACAAGATAAAAAAGATAACAGCCAAAGATTTCGGAGATATCGGTGAGTTCTTCCTGACTTGACTTGCTCTGGCATTCTCGTTCAGCGCCCTTTTCTGTTGGGGGAAAATATACAATCCTTGTGGACAGGATCAGGGATTACCCTTAAGGAGAGCAGGAGGCAAACAGCTGCTTCTTTTCAGAAACAATCCAGAATCCATTTCATCCAAAAGATTTCCAAATGTTAAGGGACATGATATACAAACCACAATGTGATCACAAGAGATTGCGAGTTTTTCCGTTGCATAAAGACATCGATCACATTTCGGAACCACAACATCCTACAGAACATGTGTGTTGACAAAAACTTGCAAATGTGGTAAACTACTCTGTTTGCAGCAGTGCATCATGGGTACAACAAAGTTAGCTAGAGGCCTTTAGGGGACTCATGCATCAAAGGCTTTTAAAAAAAGTTTATTTGATAATTTGTTGAATATATATATCAGGTATTCACAATTGATGCTAATGGAACACTCAATAATAAGGTGACTTTTGACAGCACGAAAAAAGTTAAAAGGAGCATAAAACTTTGAACAAACAAAAACTGCAGTAAGTACGAAAAAAATAACCACGTGGATGGCAGGAGTGTAATTTCCGAGCCAAACTGTCTAACATATGACGCTTAACCTTCACATTATCAATTTAATGCTCTTCTGTCCATTTCCATTCATCTACTATAGTTACTCTGAAGAGAATCGACTTCACTGGAAATATAATTTCTGAGATTGAAGAGGGTGCATTTGCTAAGCTTACCATGCTAAAGGAGCTCTCACTAGCCGAAAACCTGCTGGTCAAGCTACCAATGCTACCGGCGAAATTAGTCTCCTTTAATGCTAATCACAACAAACTGAGGACCAAAGGAATCAAGTCAAATGCTTTCAAGGTAAAGAGCCACAAATTACACTACCTGTTTGAAAACACTTCTAGCCAATGCACAACCTTTTGTTTTGAATTATGTTTTGAAGTGACTTTTTCATTTATAGAAAGAATACCCTACCGAATTGATTTAATCAAGACAAAGACAGCCTTATTTGTTATTATTTTAACCGTTTGCTCTCAAAATTGTTTTGCTCTGACTTCCAGAAATTAAGCAAACTGACACATCTGTATCTTGCTCACAATGAACTGGAGGCGGTTCCTCTCATTCCAGAGACTGTCCGCACACTTCACCTACAGGTTAGAAAGCTGAACATGTTTTGCATGCTAACAAGTCTTCTGCACAGAAATTATACTTTTATTATTATTATTTTTTAATGTAAAAAAAAAACATATTGAAGGAACTCTAACCCCTTCTCTTGCTGTGTTTTCAGAACAATAACATTTCAAGCGTGACTGTGGACACCTTCTGCAAAAGTAACAACACATACTACATCCGCCACAACATGAACGAAATCCGTATGGATGGAAATCCCGTCATCCTCGGCCAGTACCCCAACAGTTTCATATGCCTGCAGTCTCTGCCAATTGGGCGATACCAATGAAAACAGAATCAAAGGTACACCCCAGTGAGAAGTCCTTGGATAGCAAATGATGATGATTAAAACCGAGAAGCAAAAGTCATTCAATCTCCTGGTGCCTGAGCACAGATAAGTGTAAAAGTTAATACCATGAGAACCTGCATCATATATCTAATTATGTAACAGCTGCCCAAACACTTAGATTTCTTCTTGATATTTCTTTGTAAATATCCTACTTTGTAGATGAACCTGAACCACAAGTCTTTGAAAGAATAACTTCATATCCATTGTAAATAACCACTGGAGGCTACTGCTTAGAAAAATGTGAGATCATGAAAAGCTGCAGTCAAGCTTCTAGTATTCCTCAGAACTCTGTGAATTTCTGACACTTTCTAATACTGTTAAATGGTCTTACTTTAGTTGAAATTAAGATGCCTGCTAAGTTAATTAGAGGGCAAGGAACTCATCCCAACTTCCAAGTCACTGATCTTTCCCAGCTGACTTTTACTTTAATGTTTTGAATATTATTTATATGCTAAATGTGTAATTACTACCTATATGTGAACTAAACATGAATAGTGTACAGCAAAACATTGTATGAAATCAACATGTTATGTTTGCTTTTGTTGTTCAAATACACTTTTTTTTTTTCTAAAAACTTGTGACTAGTTTGCTTTTATCTTTTACAACTATGTCAGACTTATAGTTAAAGCAAAAAAAAAAAAAAAAAGGCAGTTCCAAAAAGAGACCAAAACAACTGTCTGCAAATTGCAAACCAATCAAACCCAAAGATTTTGCACACAGAAACTTCTGGAAAAAGTGGGGTAATATTGTTCCATTTAACTGGCCAAATTGGCAGCCATTACAGCACAATGATCCAAGCAAATAATGGAATGTTTTTCATACTGACTCGAAGGCTTCATTCCCAAACTTTCACTGCCATCGAGTCATGGAATTTGTTCCCAATCTGGCATTCAGCAATCTTTCTCATACTTATGAAAGTCTCATGATATATACAGTACATACATATTTCTACTTACAAGAAGAGAAATAAAAGTGGAGAACTTTGTTATTTCATGTAGAATCTTTGAAATATATATTTTTCTCAAAGGAATTAAATAAATCAGGTGTCTTTGTTTTGGATACACATTGGTCTAAATAATCATATTCCTTCTTATTACAGTATTAACTTATTATAAGGCTTTTATGAAAGTTATAAAAACACAAACTTTTTCATTACAAATTAAATTATCAGCATAACAACAACAAAAGTTGTACTACTAAAGTTGTACTGAATACTACCAATTGGACATATCGCGCCACAACCAATCAGAGAAATTTAAATTTAAGTCCCTTTTTGGCAAGTTTGTGTGTAGCTGTGACTAGATTTCAATAAAAGTCACAATTTCTTTCATGATCAATGAGAACTGACATTGCTGTCACTTCTCAGTACTCAAGTATTTGTGCTCATACATATTTGGTTGAGCACTTTATTCCCTGCTTCTATTGCTGGTTACCTGAAAGTGCTGAAACGTTTGACGCCTCTCCTCACATCTCTCAGAGAACGTCCTCAAGGTCCTGAAGAACAAAAGAAGATCTTTTGTGTCCTCCACTCTGCAAACAAGACAGTATTGTTACATTAATACCCCATAACACCCAACATTGTATTGCTCACTTTGGTAAATTCTAATTAGATTGTCTTAAATCAGGGGTTTTCAAAGTGTGGGGCGCGCCTCCCCAGGGGGGCGCCAGAGCATGTCAGGGGAGGCGCGGGGGAAAATTATAATAAATTAAAAATAGAATTATTGAGTTAAATTATTATATGTATTTTTTATTATAATTCAATGTTTTTATTTAAACGATACTAAAAAATAATAAGTCAAAAATATGAGAAAAATGTTTCACCCAGAAGGCCGTAGCTGTGAATATGCCTATTAATACAATGGAGCGGTTTCTGAGACCTCCCGATTCAAAGCCTTCAACTTCAGGGCTTAAACCCAAAAGACGACGATATGATATTCAGTATTTGAGTTTAGGATTTACGTGGACAGGACCAGCTGATGAACCACGACCTTTATGTGTGGTTTGTCAAGATATTTTGGCTAATGACAGCATGAGACCCACAAAACTTCGGCGCACACCTTGAAACCAAGCAAGTTGAGGTAACTATAGCAGGAAAACCTCCAGAATTTTTCCAAAGAAAACTTCAAACCTTTCAAGGTCAGAAAATGTTTTTGATTTTGTCAAATTAAATGGAAAGGCCACTGAAGCTTCATATCGCGTTGCATTGCGTATTGCCAAGGCAGGCAAAGCACATACCACTTGAGAGACGTTAATTCTACCGGCAGCAAAAGACCTGTGTTCCGTGATGCTAGGAGAGGCAGCGGCTTCTAAGATTGATTCTGTTCCACTCTCTGATAACACAATAAGTCAGCGCATCTCAGACATGGCACAGGATGTGAAGGAGAAAGTCAGACACAGCCCATTCTTTGCACTCCAGATCGACGAATCCACCGATGTGGCCAGCTGTGCTCAGCTGTTAACATATGTGCGGTATGTGAAAAACATGGGGAGGGGGGCGCCATTGGGTAAGTTGTGTCAAAAGGGAGGCCCACTGTCTTAGACTTTGAAAACCCCTGTCTTAAATTATTTGATTAGAAAAAATAATGACAGGGAAATATCCTCCTTGATGTAAAATTCAGCATACAATGTAGAAGGATAAACTGTGTATTTGTGTTTAATCCCATTCACAGGCTGACATTACGAGACATTTTGAGATTTTCCATAGATTTACCAGGGGCCCAGAAACTGGCACAGAATGCAACTTTCCATGACTCTGGAGTCTTGTCTGTGAAAGGCCGGTGTTGTAATGTGTGATGGAAAAATGTTAAGTCTCTCAAAACTAAATGGATCCACTCCAAGAGTAAAAGACAGCAGCTTAATGGCAAGAGTTGGAGAAAAGGCTCCCTGAGAATATCTAAGCACCAGACAATTAATGTACACCTTAAATTTTTTGGATTTGGGTGAGCTGAAAGTTTACAAACATTCATCAGCCATCTGGATTGACTGATGTCTAGCGCGGTTTAAAAGAAACCCCAGACAAATCACCCTCGCCGACGGATCTCATTTTGTAATCTGGGCAAATTTCCATAATATGCATTTCAGATTTGTTGATTGGGGACCTTGAATCTGAAAAAGTCATTTTAAACCACGCTGTCCTAGAATGCTAACCTTTTAAGTTCAACAGACCAAACATACTGAATGCCAGGATCGCTCTATAGACCGATAATAGCAAATCAATGTTGGGCTGCTTTGTATAATGTCACTAAATTTGTCCCTTCAGTTTTTCTCATTTGACTGGTTATGCTGTGAAGAACCTGTGGTATGTACTAATATTCAACGTATAGGTTCCAAAAACCTGTGTGGTTGTGCTTTGTTTCAAACTTCACACTTGTCAAAAATCAAAACATCAACAACAGAACCAAAGTTGCAAACATAGCTATAGAGGATACAGTAATGAAAGCACAAAAACTTTCTCCCCAGACATGCCTGAATCCACTTATGTACCTGACCACAAGAGTGCTCAAAAAATTCTTAAGTTTACATGGACCATAATGGTTATAAAATGCGTCTTCCTGAGTCGCAGAGACAACTCAAGACTTATGCGAGAATCATTATCTCCAGTATTTTTCCGACTCTCTCGTGCCAGGACTCTCAGACCAGACAATATGATCCAGATGCACATTCAGCGACCAGGAGGCTAGCTGCACTTTAGAAAAGGACCCAAACAAATCGCCGCCAAAACAGCAGCATTACTTCAAAATTTGTCATCCCAGCCAAAAAAATCCTGTGACTAAGTGGAACAACCACAGAAGATCCTATAGTCATGTTTTTAGAAAACAAAACTCTGAAATGTAAAGAAATTAATTGGTAATTCAAATGTATGAGTGTAATGCATTTACATTTCAAGTAATATTATGTTGATTGAGAGATCAGTGGTAATCAGAGTGTCGTTGGTTTGAATCTTTGGAAATGTACCATAAAGCTACAGATACTGTTTGACATGAAAGGATAAATCTAGCAGCAGAATAAGTTAACCACAAGCATGAAGATTCAGACCTCAGCTCTCTTTTCAAGTATATTGCAAGTATGATGTACAACACAATCTAAATAACCTAACGTTCTAATTATCTCGGCTGTGTTCTCTGTGGATTGCTGGATACATCAACATCAAAAGGTGTTACTTTAATGGGAAGTGTTGTGCTGTACTCGTTAAAGTAATAATAGAAGACAGAACTGCACTTCAGACCACAGGAATTTTATCACTCTAAACCAACATATAAAGCAAATTCAAAGGTCTCTCTGGTGGAGTTGCCTGTACAGACTGTCCTGATTCACACAGTCCAGAGTGCCCTTCAGGTAGTCCACACGTTCACTTTTTACAGTGCACACTGTGGGGTGCTGTTGGCTGTCAATGACTTGCTGGTGCCATTTGTTGACAGTTTAATGAGCGGGACATGTTACGGACCGTCAACACAGCACTTTTAAACATTAAATCCACACATCATTATGTGGGGTGCAGTGTTCTTCTGGACTCAACTGACTGAACCTCATTAAAGCACCAGAAGAGCAACCATCTATAATTTAGAAAGAGAGTTTACTCCACCAACATAAAAAAAAAAACATGCTTCTGCCATGAAGCTGCTCTGTAGGAGCTTTACCACAAATATAGAATACAAAACAAACAGAACAGAACAAAAAAAAAGCACAATACAGCAACAGATGACAATAGAATAGAACAAAGCAGAACAGAAAAAATATATATATGGGTAAAATCTGTGAACAAACTTTGAAGTTGCTTGAGATAGTCTAGCCTGAAAGTTGTTAGCATGTTTTTAACATGATTCTTATGTTGATAGCATGTTTCTAGCATAATTACCATGTTGCTAACAGAACTGAACAATAGAACAAGACTGAATAAATCACAATAGTGCAGAAAACAACAGAACAGAGTGCAACAGAACAACAAGGAAAAAACACAAACTGAATAGAATACATTAAAAAAAACAACAGAATACAATAGACAACAGCAGAAAATAGAATACAGCCGAAAAAAAAAAGACTAAACAGAATAAACTAAAACCAACAGAATAGAACACAACAGAACAGAATAGAATACAACAGAACAGAACTGAATACAATAGAACAGAAGGGAAGAAATAGGCAGCTACCACAGATATGGACCACATGCCTAATGATCAGAGACATTTATGTGTTAATTTGGCCTGGACCAGAGTATGTGAGCGGAGTGGAGCGGCAACAATTTCACCCTCCGCGCTCCAAGCATTCAATAATCACTCCGCTCCGGGTTCACCATTTCCCGCTCCCGTTCCACTCCTCGCTCCACTGATCAGAAACCGCTCCACGGCTAAATTATTTCACTATGCTTGAAAAATCAAAGTTCTGTTCAGAAATTATATTAAACGAAAAATAAATGCATAATACTAGAAGAATAGTTTTAACATGGTTTATTGGAACACTACAATTAGCCCAAGTTCATATTAAATGACTGCTTAACTCGCTTAGCTTACTTGTCTGTGCAACGTCTCTCTACTATGGCGAAGCTGAGGGTAGTTACTTCAGAAACAGAAAGAATATGGTGTAACTTTTCTGTTTTTAAGCTGATAAATCACAGGACAGCGTTGACCAAATTTTCTTCATTCCTGAATGTATGTGCGCGATCTGTACGTTATTTGCGAGCTTGTGTGTTCTGTCGGTGTGCAGCAATGTAGAAGCACATTCGTTTCGAGCATTGATTAACAAACTGTACAACTAGAGTTGCCAACTTTAGAAAATGAATACACGGGACAATTTTGTAAATACAGGTGAGTGACCGTGAAGAGTTCAGATGCAAAAGCCTCTAAGTGCTGTCTGAAATTTTGATCTAAAATTAGCATTTTCATCAGGCTCCTATGTTTAGGTTCAGTAATGTTACTCTAATTGCAATGTATAGGTCCTTTTCTATTGCATTAAAGTGAAATAACTGAACATAAATATAGGAGCCTGATAAAAATGCTCATTTTAGAAGAAAAAACGGACGGTACCATATAGAGACGGTACCATATAGAGGCTTTTGCATCTGAACTCTTCATATATGAAAATGCATATTTTTCAATGAAAGACAGCTTATACAGTGGTGTGAAAAAGTGTTGGCCCCCTTCCTAATTTCTTATTTTTTTGCATGTTTGTCACACTTTAATGTTTCAGATCATCAAACAAATTTAAATATTACACAAAGATAATGCAAGTAAATACAAAGACGACTTCCCTTACTGATCACGTCTCTTGCGCGGCGGGATGTTGGACTCATGAAAAATAATCACGTTGTTTGTATTCACCAAAACTGATTTATTGAAGTCAAAACACGGACGGAATTGGCGTCAGCGCTAGCGCCGCTTGCTGTGAGGCGGGAGCGACGAGCCGGCAGAGGATTCCGCAGCCTTCCACGACCAGTTATGTTCACGATTTCTGATTTACTTAACGTATACTGCGTGAGGGAGGCTGTGGATGATGACAGGTATCGGTGATCATTCTCAAGTGATCAGCACCGCTGCTGTTGTATCAGTCAGTGGTTAGATTAGCGTAGCAGTCAAAAAACGGGACAAGGGAGGTCACGTATGGGACAAATCAGTTAGGCCCAAAATACGGGATGGCTGGCTATGTACAACTTACAACATGCTTTAACTTCCCGCACTCGTCCATCGCCATTTCACCTTCAAATGTGATCCAAATATCTGTCAAGCTAACTAATTATGTTTAATGCGTGAGTTGGCATAATTTGTGCTCGTGACGGAGCGGTAGCGGAGCGGGTGAAAACCTCAACACTCCGACTTTCAAAGAATCCGCTCCTAGCTCCAGGCAAAATCACACTGCTCCACTCCGCTCACATACTCTGGCCTGGACCACGAATAAACAAATCCTTCAGCTGCAAGCATAACAGAAATCCCTCAAACACATAAACAAAGCCATTATTTGTCTAATGATGGAATATTTAAAACAATAAAATAAAATAAAGTAAATATTTTTGAGGTTATGTGGTATTTCACTTAAACGCTGCCTCATATGAAGGATTCTCAAGAGTACATCACTGTCAGTCAATCAGTCGGCAGCGGATCTAACCTGATCTCGCAACACTTGCCAATCAGAGAGATCTGATGAGAAAATCAGATCTCTGCGGGAACTCTCTCACATCGTGTTAACAACAGCTGGTCAGGGTTCACTCAGCATCCAGCTAATGAGCCACTTTGATACTTTTTTTTCCTCTTATATGAAGTTTTGTTTGAATTTGTATCTTTTTACAAGACTAACATAAAGCAGAACACTCTTCTATGGTGTCTGGGAATTCACTTGCCTGATGTTTACTTACACTGTAGGTTTTATGTTGTGTAACCTATTACGCAACCTGGATTTTCTCCAAATGGGATTTCTGTTGATTCAATTATGTAAACAAGCAAGATGCAACATTTTGTGAAGAGCACAAATTATCCATGGAATCCACTTACCTTTAAAAATAAATGTAAAAAAATAAATAAAGTAATAGACCACCCAAAAATGAGAATTTGCTAAAAAATTTACTTACTCTCAGGCCATACAAGATGTAGATGTGTTTGGTTCTTGATCAGAACAGATTTGGAGAAATGTAGCATTACATCACTTGCTCACCAATGGATCCTCTGCACTGAATGGGTGCCGTCAGAATGAGAGTCCAAACAGCTGATAAAAACATCACAAAAATCCACAAGTAATCTACACGACTCCAGTCCATCAGTTAATGTCTTGGGAAGTGAAAAGCTGTGTTTTTAAGAAGCAAATCCATCAAGGCATTTTAACTTCAAACAGTCACTTCTGGTCAAAATATGAGTCCAGTGAAAAAGTCCACCCCTTGTTGTCCTCTCACATCAAAATCCACCAACATATTTGTTTAGAGCTGTTTTGGCTTGTAAACGGTGCTTGAACTGTGTAGATTTCTCTCCTGATTCAGACAAGACCATTTTTTCACTGGAGATAGCAATATTATGAGTATTCATTTATTTTATATTTTAGCCAGAAACAATGGTTTAATATTAAAAATTTCCTAATGACCAATTTATTACAAATATGCAGCTTTTTACTTCACAAGACATTAATTGATAGACTGGAGTGGTGTGGATTACTTGTGGATTTCTGTGTTTTTATCAGCTGTTTGGACTCTCATTCTGACGGCACCCATTCACTGCACAGGATCCATTGGTGAGCAAGTGATTTAACTTTTGCTACATTTCTCCAAATCTGTTCTGATGGAGAAACAAACTCATCTACATCTTGGATGACCTGAGGGTGAGTAAACTTTCCTTAAATTTTCCTCAAAATTCCTTAAAATACAAACACACCAATGATATTAAGCAGTTACCAATCATCACTCTACCTGGACACAAATGCAGAGAAATCTTTGAATTCAACACCATCCACAACGATATTGAGCTCTGTAACTCTCCTGAGCAGAGCATCACCCTCCTGTAAAAAAAAAACACTGAGAATTAAACAATATCATAAATAATCTTAATAAATAGCCTTAAATTGATCTGCATTTATTCTATTACCTGTCACGAAACTGATGGTTTATGGGATTTCCTCTCTTCAGGAAAGAAACTCTCATCTTTTTTATTGTGAAAACTGGAGCACAAATCTGCTTTCACTTTTTTATGCGCTTTATATAATGCTTCAAGTTTATTCTTGACTATTGTCATGGTAAAGATTTTAAATTTTAACGATTTTTTTTAAACATTTGCTGCGAGTCAGCTTTAGATGTTCCAACACAAATAAAACCTTCATCTTCAGAGTTATATGTTGATTTTCCATGGGCTGCCAGTTTAAAATAACTCTAAAATAATTTTTAAGGGTGCCATCAGTCACCAACCAACAGTTCTATTCTGAATTATTTATTACAACTTTGTAAATATTTGTGCTAAGGAGGTCCCTCAAAGAACTGGATTTATGCTTGTCATGAAGATTTCAGAGAAAGAAGAAGAACTAGAAAAACTATAAATGCCGAATCTACTCCATTGAAAAGAGTTTGTCTACTGCACAAATCTGATGTTGAAATGACAAAGTCTCGGTCAAAATGGAGACATGCTGCCCTCTAGTGTTGAGTATAAGAACAATCATGGCAGGCTTCACTGGTTCTAATAACCATGGACTTTATGTGGTTTAAATGATTGTAGGTGAAATGTGAGAATTTCAGTACTTGACTACATTTTCTGAAGAACACTTAAATGGCGCTTTAAAATACAAAACATAATACTCATCACTTACCTTTTTCCTTAACAAGCCACATGATTTGAGGCATTATACAGACTATATAGAGGGTTCAGGATTTAAACAAGCCCCTAACACTAAGGCCCAATCCCAATTCTATTTTATACCCCTTCCCCTTGTCCCTTGAAACTGAGTGAAAATATTCCCCTAAGAATTGGGACACCACTACTATGCGGTCACACGGCATCATACGTCAATACACACACCTATGCTGGTGTGAATTAGAGCCTTTAATTATAAATACTGAATCGCTACATTATATTTTGCAGCAACAAGAGGATAACATTTTTTGTTTTTGAAGTAAACTCACTCTAAAAAGAGAAACGCACAGACGTGCATACAAGCAATTTTCATCTCTCTCTCTCTCTGTCTCTCTCTCTCTCTCTCGAATTGGCAATATTTGAGAAAAGGGTTTAGCGATTTATAATTATTGGAGGGACTAGCCCCCCTCAATGTCTATGTTGGTTATCGCCCTGATCAGACATGAAAATATGTTGTGGCACTATCGTGCAGTCTGTAATGATATGACGTTAGCAAACTTTAGCGATTTTTTGCAAACATTTCTTTGAGTAACATGACCGCAAATATGAACTCACGATTGAAAGTAACATAAAACAAATTATTTTCGTTAAAATCTTTATTAATGCCCAAAAATGCTTACATTTATGTGTCTTTTTGTTCGCTCGCGCAGCCATGTTGCTTCTGTAGCCGGTTTATGCTGAGATAATTCATACCCCTTCGTTTGAAGTGTGGTCCCGAAAAATCTTCGTTTGAAGGGCTGTCTGGCCCTTCCTTCCCCTACCCCTACCCCCCCCAACCAAAAGAGAATTGAGACACCCCTACCCCTTCATGTGAACGCACGCGCGAAACAGAGGGGTAAGGGGAAGGGCTAAGGGGTAGAATTGGGATTGGGCCTAAGTATGAGAAATCATAGCATGCAGAACTAATAATTAGAGAATAAAACCAAATAGTAACTGATTTACAGCATCCTAAAATGAACTTTGTAAGTTTTAAGGCCATGGCCTGGTTGCAACAAAAAATAGCAACGTGTTTGTAAGAAACAAACCATCATTAAGGCATTTTAACTTTAAACCATTGCTTTTGACCAAAATATGAGTTCATAATCCATAATATTACTTTCTCCAGTGAAAAAGTCCATGTGCATTTTTCTCTCCTGTTTAAACCGAGACATCTTTTTCACTGGAGAAAGCAATTTTAAGGACAGAGAACTAGTACTTAGCCAGAACCAACTGTCTTGATGGATTTGTTCTTTGAAAACACACGGCTTTTCTCTTCACAAGACGTTAACTGATGGACTGGAGTGGTGTGGATTACATTTGGATTATTGTGTTTTTATCAGCTGTTTGGATTCTTATAATGACGGCACCCATTCACTGCAGAGGATCCATTGGTGAGCAAGTGCTTTAATTCTAATTACTCCAAATCTGTACTGATGAAGAAACAAACTCATCTACATCTTGGATGGCCTGAAGGTGAGTCAATTTTCAGGCAATTTTCATTTTTGGCTGAACTATTCATAAAAAAAACACCAAAACTCATAAAACAAATTATTACTAATTATATTACTAATTATAACCAGCTGCAAGGCCGTGAATATCTTAAGCCCTAAAGCACACAATCTACATACACTCATCTGGCAGGAGGAATATTTCAAACACCCTGCTTTGCAAAGAAGTATCTATTTTGCATGCATTTTGAAAGTGTATGTTAATTTTAATAAATAATACCTGTGTTAATACTATTAAGTGCACGCATAAATATTTAGTGACTTCTTTGTACCTGAATCTCAGTCACTGCAAATTCAACCTGGAACAAAAGTACACTGCAGTGACCTGCAAGTCTGAGCTGCTGTACAAGTTTTCTTTCACCTGAAGAGACAACAGAAGTTAGTAACATTTAAATACAACCCAGAGAATTTTTTTTTTCAATAAACCGATAAATTATACAAATTATTTTGCAGTTAAAAGCAAATTTTAAAAACTCACTTTTGTGCAATGTCTTTACAAAACACTCATTTAGAGCAATCCCATTGATTTCTGTCTGTCGTCTGAGGTCTTTTTCCAGCTCTCTGACTTCTGTGATCAGCTTTGAAAGAGTGGGTTTCTGTGCTCCTCCTCTTTCCTCAAACACTGACTTTCTGAAAGAGGAAAAAAAAATGTGAAACCCTAATGTAATTCCTTTTGTCCAGTCCTCAAGTGAACCATTTTCATTGTGGTTATCCTTAAAGATTTCACATCACAGAAAGACTGTGTTTTTTGGTTTTTTTTTTTTAGCTTTTGTCCAGTTTACACTGCTATATGAAACTAAACAAAATCCATTGAAAGGTAGTCCGTACTAACAGTTCATGCTGTAGTCGATCTCCATGCTCTATGAAAATGGACCGTAAAGTCTCCTCCTGTTCAGCCTCCAGCATTTCAATTTCCTGCTGTAGCATCTGGATCTCTTCTTCATATTTCTGCTCCATTATCTTCCTCAATCTACTAAAAAGCAGTTTATGAAAATACAAAAATAGAGAGAGAGAGATATTACATAATATACACATTTACATAATATACATATAGCCTAAATAACATTTGCATGTCAGAATTATTTTAATATGCAAAGGTTCTAATTAATCAGCTCAAGTCAAAAACCTTATCTTTTAAATTATCTAACCAATATATAACATTTCAACAAAATATACAACAAACAGAAATAGATTTCACCGAATACATTTATCATTACACTCTGTAGGAGACAGTTCATGTCAAAAACGCTTTTATAAATGTATCACAAACCGATAGATTATCCTACCAGCTGTCCATATGTTAATTATACACCTTTATATTCCTTTATATAGTTTCATAACGATATTTTGAGTGTAAATCCGATGACAGGAGCTCGACTTGGTCAAATCAAAACATTAATCAGAAGAGAGTTCACTGAGGTAAAGACATCTAAAGTTGTAATGTAAACCTGTTTGTTATTTCTTATATGGATTTAATACTTTGTGTAGAACTTATATCAACCTTAAAATCGAGTGTTCAAAGGAATAAACTTACTTTAATCTACTCATGAAAATGAAAACCGCGACTTCACGATTCTGACTGATTCAACTAAATCCCGCGTCAACACGGAACATACCAAATGAGATCTGCAGGGGTGAACCATATCCAATAACACACTAAAACATTTGAATATTCATCTAAATAGCATTATTATGAAGCTAAGCTGTTATAAACTGGTCTATTTATGCCTATAATCCTCAACGTGCATGAGAGAAATCGGAAATTTGTCTAATATTACTTTTCTTTACTGTTTTGTCGATGGAACTTTCCATACCCTTCGCAAGCGGAACCAAAACCACGTCCACGGTGGCACTGCGGAAGATTTACAGTGTAACATCAGTATATACATACATGTGAATCTTTGGCATGATCGTACGTTTGTTTAGCGTTTGTAATAATACTTTTATTCTGCCTTAGGGAATATTTTAGGAACTGTTTAACTATGAAATGTTAACGTAAGATATTGAGAAATTGAGATCCTACGGAGTGTACTTCTGTAATTATATGTTCATGTGTCTCACGGTTTTAAGATATAATTTACATAATGTGATAATTGTTGTAAGGGTGTTTTTGCAAGTTGAATTGAAATGAAGATGAAAAATAAAATAATTAGTACTCAAGCTTGTGTAACTTACATGGCAAATGGTTATCGTTATTATACGGATATACGAGTGAGTGAGTGAGTGAAGTGACATGTGGCCAAGTATGGTGACCCATACTAGGAATTAGTGCTCTGCATTTATCTCATCCTAAGTGCACACACACAGCAGTGAACACACACATACGCCGTGAACACACACCCGGAGCAGTGGGCAGCCATTTTATGCTGCGGCACCCGGGGAGCAGTTGGGGGTTCGGTGCCTTGCTCAAGGGCACCTCAGTCGTGGTATTGAAGGTGGGAGAGAGCGCTGTACATTCACTCCCCCCACCTACAATCCCTGCTGGTACGAGACTCGAACCCGCAACCTTTGGATTACAAGTCCGACTCTCTAACCATTAGGCCACGACTTCCAGTCGTACAGTTCTATTCCTAAATTTAACGTTACATAACTTTCATGTTCTGCAAGGTGTTTATTATATAAAAATATATATTATTTCATAATATATGCAATAGTTATAATTATTATAAAAAATAAAAAAGGGATCCTAACATTGTGTGGAGACTCCTTGAGCAACAATTGTTTGTAACTTGTGAAAACTGGTTGTACAGTCAAGATGCGTATTGGTAGTTATTTTGTTTCCCAGAATGCTCTGCAGTCTGCATGTTTGAGTTTTTTCCAAAATAATTATACAATGTTGAGTCCAGCTTTGTCTCTGTCGAGTGACAGTTGTAGATTATGTGTGTTTTGATGATACACAGACCGGGTTGATTGCATGAAATCTAGCCATGAAACGGTTGTACATCGGTGGTCTCGGGCACACTGGGTCTGAGAAGGACCTCAAAGTCAGATTTGGAAAATTTGGAGATGTGTCAGATGTGGAAATCATTACGAGGAAAGATGAGAATGGTTGGAATTCTGCTAAAAACCAAAGGACATCTGACTGCTAGATGCCACAGAATTTTTGAACCGATTTTAATGTAATATTTTTATTGCATTAACTGGGTACCCATTCAATATTATTCACATTTTGCGCAATATCTTTGTGATCTGTTTGCAGGAGCTCCTCTGAAAACATTTCGCTACATCAACATAAACATCACAGATGCTGAATACAAAAGATGTATGTACAGTTATATAATAAATTAAAAATGTTTCCGTGTCATGCAGTAAATCAATTTGCTTTTTATACAGGTGTAGGCATCTTAAATAAATCCACATGGAAAGGTGGAACCTTGCTTATTCAGTTGGCAAAAGAAAGCTTTCTACATAGGTAAAAACTTTCTTCAACCAGTAAATATTGGTTAAACTATTTGTTGCTATATACTGATTCTTTATATGTTTTTTAAGACTTGCTGAGGAACGACAGCAACTGGTTGAAAAGACCAAGACACCAAAGACCATCCCTCAGGATCCCCAATTATTGGACTCACTTAAAGTGGCCGGCGTTGAGAATTTCCACATGAAAGCTGCCGTTCCAGGAACAAAAAAATTCCCGGCCATAAGGTCCGTGTCTATGATTTTCTTTTGCTAATAATATTTGTCCAGTTGTAAAAATGGCCAGATGCTGATTTAACATTGATTTTGTGTTTATCCACTCTTCCAGAATTGGGTCGTGAGTAAATTTGGGAGGGTACTTCCTGTCCTGAACCTGAAGTATAAAGGAAAGAACAAGATATCCCTTTCCGTGCATTTGTCATCTTCACCCTTTCTTGTCTGCTGACATTGTTTTTTTGTAGTGAAGTGCCATTTCAAATTTGTATATGAGGGATCATTATGAAGAGTAAAATGATCATGCTTTCAGTGTAATTCACTATCTACCCTTAAATCTTGAATACGTCTTCAAGTATGATCCATCCAAACACTGCCACATCAAGAGACTGGAGGCTGCGGATGACGTCACATCAGTGTCCAAGCTGACATGGGAGCTTGAAGGTGGAAACGATGAAATCAGTAAGAAAAGGAGAGGAGAGTTTCCAAAGCAGAAACCGTGTCCCAAAAGATCCAAAATAGACTTGAGTTTGTTTCTTGGTAATTTGGCTCAAAGAAATGCAAATAATGCGGCTGCCATTGAAAACAAAACCAAAGTGGCGATCCAACAAAACGGACTCTCCGCTACAAAGACGGGAAAGCAAAAATCTGTTTGTGTTTTGGACAACGAAGCCGACTCTGAAGACGAAATCAGAATGTTGGTTGCTCAGGAACATTTGAGGAACCCAAAACAAACCTCCACAGAGGATGACGACGACAATGACAACCTGGAAGTGGTTGGAGATGATTTTATTGTCAAGTCTAACGTTTTCTGGGGTGGAGTGGAACAAGAGTCCCTACTAACTTCATCAAAAGACGATGAGGAATACGATTCTACGGACACAGATGAAATACTCACCCAGAGAAAGACCCAGAAAACACAAGGTCAATCTACACCAGCTAGTCCAGATTCCTCAACAAAATCCAGTAAAAATGTGTCTTCATCCACATCTGATGATGATGATGTTAGCGTAGATTCTGATTATGAAGCAATGATGGGGAACTGCTACCGTTTAGATCTTTTCCTAGCAGACTTGGAGCAGCTAGCTAAAAAAGCAGAGGTGATTTCAGATGATGAAAGTGTCGAAGAAACCAAAGAAGGCCCCAAGTGCTCCACCCAAAAGAACAGGCAATAACCCAGAAGATATTCTCGCCTCGCTTCGTGGAGACGCCACCTCTGAGAAAGAAAAGAAGAAGAAGAAGAAGAATCAGGTAAACACTGTATCTCTTCCTGCTTTCATTGGAACGAAGGATCTCTTTGGAGGTCCAGAGCCCAGCCTGAAAAGAGTTGCCCAAAGTATAAACTCGCTTCGTGGAGACGCCACCTCTGAGAAAGAAAAGAAGAAGAAGAAGAAGAAGAATCAGGTAAACACTGTATCTCTTCCTGCTTTCATTGGAACGAAGGATCTCTTTGGAGGTCCAGAGCCCAGCCTGAAAAGAGTTGCCCAAAGTATAAACTGTGAATCTCCTAAACAAGACCTGAAATTGAAAGAAAAAAGCATCTTAGAAAATACAAGTCAACCGCAGACTTCAAACCGTCCATCTCAACAGGTAATGTCCACTTTAAAGGTAAAATCAACCTCAAAAAACTGGAGAATAAAGCGTCCATCTCAGAAGATGATTCTTCTAGTGAAGAATCAGAAAGCAGTGGTAATGAAGATGTCTTCACTTCTAAAGCATCTTCAGCGTAACAATCGGTAAGAACCATCACTGAAGCCAAACTAAGGACTGTTAGGTCTAATAACTCAAACACCCCAAACAAACCCAATCAGACGAAGACCTCTAGATCCTCCAGCAGTGACTCTTCTAGTGAAGAATCAGAAAGCGGTGAGGAAGATGGTAATGCTAGTCTCCATTTCTAAAACATCTTCAGCAACACAATCGGCAAGAACCATCTCAGAAACCGAAGTAAAAACTGTTAGCGCTAATAACTCAATCAAACCCAAGCAGACTGTTTCACATCAAACATTTCTTCACTCAACTGTCATAGACACTCGGAAACAACAGCAGGACAACCAGAAACGTCTCGCGGCGCTGGAGCAATGTCAGAAAGAAACCAAACAGCAGAGGAAACTCATTCAAGGTGCTCTTTCTAAAGTGGTGAGTAGAGCTAGTCCATAAAAGTTTGAAGTATTTTAAGTGAGGTTGCACAATGAATAGGTGCAATATTGGTTATTGGTAATTTTTAGATATATCTTTTAATTTAACAGTATTAGTGGGTTTTGCTTATTTAATTGTTCATGCTAATTTTTCATACTTTTTGCATTTTAGGTGACCTTTGTCATCATCTATTGCATGCATTTTGCATTTTTAAGTGTTTAATTTTTAATTTATTCTGATTAAATAGTATTGAATTTTAATATTGGCCATTTCTTATTTTATGCCATTCTTCATAAATGAATTATAAAGGAAAAAATTCCTTCACAGTCCTATGTCTCACAAAATTTATAAAATAAAAAAAAAGTAAAAAAAAAAAAATTTCTTTTTCTTTTTGGTCAGGTTTTTTAATCAGGCTTGCAGTCATTTGTGTTGTGTAACAAGTTCTGAAACATTGCTAATAAATACACATTTTTAATTAGTAGTGTGCAGAATTTTTCACATTTTGTATGTTTTGATCATGATGTTCATTGATTTATAGTACATAAATGATTTATAAAATGATTATTGTCTTCTCTGTAGTGACCTGAATTTTAATACCATTGCATCCATCATTTAAAGTCGTAATTCACTGAAAATTGAATTTGTCTTACAGTCTTTTAGAGTCATTTACTCTCAGAAGATCTTTTTCAGGACACAGTGAAAGCGAACAAAAGTAAACACATTGTGTTTGGTTCTGATGAAGAAGAGGATGAAACCACAAGCAGACCAGAACAACCACCAACAAACTTGAAAAAAAGCCTCTTTGAGGACAATTCAGGATCCGACGAAGATCAACAAACGTCCACTTTGAAAGAAAAGGCAAATATGGACCAAGATTGGATATGGAAGTTTATTTTCTTGAATTCTTTGATTTGTTCTTCATGTTTCCATCATAATTCCACAGAAGAACAACAAGCCAGGTGGCAGCAAGCTGTTTGACTGTGAAGATGAGGACGATAGTGCTGAGGACGAACGGTTCCAGATCAAGCCCCAGTTTGAGGGCAAAGCTGGACAGAAGGTTTGGATTGAGAGTCTCTTTCAGGATGGAGAGATTCCGAGTTTGTTTGATTTCTCATTCATTTGTTTTCATCTTTTTTTTTTTCAGCTCATGAAGCTGCAGGCTAGTTTCGGAACCGATTCAAGATTCCAGGTCGATTCTAGATTTCTGGAAAGCGACGATGAGTCTGAAGATCAAGGTCATTTATTACAAGTATGTTCTTGGGCTTGAATGTGTTTGAGAGAATTATTCACCTGTTTCAGTCTTTCAAATTTCAGATGCAGCGGCTCCAGAAAAAGATGCAGACGAACAACTTCTTGAGGAGAAAAAGAAAAGTCTAGACATCCTCCAGAGCATTTTAAACTCCAGCATACAACCACAAAACACCAGAAAGGGCAAGACGTTCAAGTATGACTTCTTCAGATGTGCTTTCAGCACACAGTTTGTTCTTTTCACTTGTTTTTAAAGGTTTATGAACCTTGTTTGGCTTTGCAGAGATGTTTCGAGCCTGCATTACGACCCGACACAAGAAGAACATGCTGCTTTTGAGACCAAGACAGAGGAACCGAAGAAAGAGAGGTATTACGTAAACTCATTTTTGGGTTTTAGTTAATATTGACTCACCGTGATGTTATTTAACATTTGCACTTTTGTACAGCAAAGCAGCGTAACGAAAGAAACGCAAAGAGGCTGAAAAACTCCCTGAAGTTTCTAAGGACATTTACTTTGACATCTCGGTGGATTTGAAGGAGGTCTTCGGGACATCTGAAGAAAACCAGGAAGAGAAGGAAACGGTCTCATGGGATAAAGAGGCAGAAGAGACTGAAGACATGGAGGTTTCCTTCACGTCTAATGTAGAAGCAAAAGAAGACACTTCAGGTGGATTCAAGTTCTCCTTCTTTGGCAAGGACACAGCTGTAGAGACGACCACCAAGACAGGTGCACTGATCATTTATGTCATTTTTCATTGTAGGTAAATTATTGGGTATATCCTTGCACTTTAAAATTGGTTTTCGCCATTGGTTTCTCAAACTTTTTCATTCAGAACTGTTGTTTGTTTATTTATGCAGGTTTTTTTAATCATAATGAGTTCTGAAATCACATTATACCACATATAACAGTTTTGTGTTAAAGTTTAATTTTTTATTTTTTTTGCCCAATCAGACGAGTACAAAATAGAGACGTTAAAAGGAGCCAAGTTCTCTTGGCAAGTGGACCCTCGTTTCCAGGACAGCAGTTCAGACGAGGAAGGCAGGGACGAGATTGAGGAGGACCAATCTGCTTCCAGCAAAATCACAGAGTAATATATTAGCATTTAAATTATAATGTATTTATTATGGGAACTCAGAACTCATGAGTTATGGTTGATGTGTGCCTAACTGGATGGTGAAATTGTGATGAAACGATGGGTTTGCTGAACCACAAGCAGTTCTGTCTTGGCAAGGTTGAGTTGAAGGTGATGGTCCTTCATCCAGCAAGAAATGTCTGTTAGACAAGCTGATGCGAGCAGGTATCGTCGGATGATCAGGATGGAATAAGAGGTAGAGTTGAGTGTCATCAGCATAGCAGTCATATGAAAAGCCATGTTTCTGAATGACAGAACCTAATGATGCTATGTAGACAGAGAAGAGAAAGTGGTCCAAGAACTGAGCCCTGAGGCACCCCAGTAGTTAGATGGAGAGGGGGAGGGGGAGGACAAAGGAGCAAGGAAATGTTTTAAAGAGCATGCGAGAGTTAGACGAATTGTTATTATTCTGGGTTTCCTTAAGATGGCGCACAAAACCCGCTGATTAGTCAATACTGAATATACAAATGGAAAATCTGGGATACAAAATTTAGGTTTAAGATTAATATGTTTAGAAAATGTAAAATAAAGAAATATTAAAGTGAAGTACAGTAAAAAAAAACTAAGTGTTAAAAATAGATTGAAGTATGTTTTACGAAAAAAAAAATCAGTTTTTCTACTTCAGAATTTAATTCAGTGTGTTACTGTTTCTTTGTAATTGTGAAATTTACTATCAATTTCTGGTCAATTTCACAAATTGTTTCTACACCAGTTTTTTTTCACTGTACAAATATTAAAGATCTTGCTCTCTTTCTAAGTCAATAATCAAATAAACAGACACATGTTTTGCATATATCTATATACCAACAAAATCTTGTTTAGATTACATTTTGATTGAAGATTCATTTATATTTTGCGCAGTGAACCGACAACATCAAAAAAGACATTTTTCTTTTTCTATCAAGATGACGAACGGTTAAAAGGTGAGATCTAAACTCATGTTAACAAATTAAGACACTCACTAACATTTAAAAAAATATATCACATAACAAACCATAACAACAGCATATTTGAGTGATTACTCATGCCTGTGTTTGTGTGTGTGGTTAAATTCAAATGAGTTTCTATTATTTATTTATTTTTAATTCAATGTACCTGTTGTGCTTTCAAACTCTCTATGTACAAATCTCTTTTCTTCAGAGGGGCCGGGAATGTGTTGTAGAAGTGTAAAACTACAAGACCAGAGGTCTCTGGGAAGAGAAGAGGACATCGCTCAGAGAGGTACCACTGATTCATATGGAAAAACGAATCATGTTAATTTCACTTCAACTAAAGATAAATGTTTCATTATTCCTCCAACATTAAAATGTGTTATGTAAATTTTAAATGCCACAAGTATATGAAATGTAAATGCACTAATATTTTGTGCATATTATTAAAATGCATTTTATGCTCAGTCCCTTTGCTTGAAACAGATTGTGGATTCCTAGTTTAACATATTTCAAAATGGTTATATGACATTTGAAAGTACTGAAATTTGGTTTGCAGTTTTTATAACATGAATTACAGCCGTTTCCCCCCCAACAGGAGTGTCGCAAGAAACACAGAGATGCCAAAAGACGCCAGAGGCCTTCGCTGAAGACCTGAACAATTTAAAGTATTCAAAGACATTTTTTACAGAGAAGATGACAGGTTTTCAGAGACATCTTTGCATATTCTATTTAATAGCTATAATGTATTGTAAAAAAAAAAAAAAAAAAAAACCAACCTGATCTAATGAATATTCCCTTTGTATGATTGAAATGATTTGAGCGAATAAATGTCGGTTTGTACCACTAGAGGGTGGTGTGATAATACTTTCATGACTATTGCAGCAGACTTCAGTGTTTGTTTTCATTCCTCACTCACTTTCTCCAAACCACAGGATCGGCCACAAAGTTGTGTTCTAGAAAACCTACTCTTGAGCTTTTTATGTGGTTACACGTGCCGCACTAAAGGTCGTTTAGTACATATGTTCTGCACAGAAGATCATGCAAATGTTACATCATGCAAATGCAAACGTTTTTTTGTTGTGATTTTTGCATCTAGTCTCTCAGGAAAGTTTGCACCGTGTCAACAGCTACAAAGGAAAAAAACATGTCTGTATGTGCGAGCTCTTCAGCCTTGTCCTAGTGACCATTTTGGCTAATGATAGTGATATTTGACCCCTAGTGTTTACTCTTACCCTTATCTGCAGACTCAAGCAGTTTCCAGCAACTAATGCAAAAGGGTAACTGGAGTCTTTACTATTACTTTACTCGTGTAAACTTCCAAAAAATGCTTAAAGATTTAATGTTATCCATGAAGGTTTTGATCACAGATATTTTTGTCATTTTAACTAATGTTCTTACATCGAAATATGTCTAATATATATGAAAGTTATACGAATTTAGGTTCTAATTTGCATACAAGTAAAAAAAATATACAGCTATATATTTTAGGTATAGTGACTGGTCACATTTTGCCATTTGGAATCACTTTTTTGCTTTATTGCAGTTCATGTAAATGAATGATTTGTATGAACTGTAGCATGTCTTACTTAAATTGCAAATTCAATTAGAATGAATTTTTTTCAAGGTCACACAAGCTCAGGCAAGTTGGCACTGAACGTGTTTAACGTCAGTCTGTGCAAAGGCCAAGAATAAAACGTGCAATCACTCAAGGAGCAAAAATCTTGCGCTGTTATTTTTGTCCGCTGATGAAACCTTTAATAAATCTACAGGAACCATTTGGCTCTGCCCAGTAGCCTATTGAGTCTGTGTTTGTGTGTGTGTATTCAAGAATATCGTTCCATTGACTTTGTGTTTGACCAACAGTGGTTTTGATCACTAGGCAAAGCAGCACGTCTGTGGATCTGAAATATAGTCATGAACACTGTTCTGTGTATAAACAGGATGCTGTGGTTTCCGATTTCAGTGTGACATCACAGCTGGTGTCTATAGCTCCTGAAGGAATGAAGCAGCTGTTGTGCAGTGACATAAGTCACCCAAAACTGCCATTTTGCGTTACCAAGTTCTGTTTTTGGCCATCAACCTTAATAAATTTAATTTTGGAACTTTCTAGATAAAATTATAAGGGTTCTGTCATGGTGTTTAATATGCTTTGAGTGGTTTTTAGCATATTGCTAATGCTAGGATGTTGAATGTGGTAGTTGGCATGTTGCTGGTGTATTTTTAACAGAGCCCACAAAAAGTCATATTCTGTTTTCTAAATATTGCTTGACTTCATCCTTCAATGCATTTTGTTTATGGGATTTTTTTTTTTACCCACTTTGCTAAAATGAATAACTCCACCCCTCCTCAACAAAACACATGATCTGAGGAATAATTCACGTTCCTAGCACAGATGTACAAGATTTTTGAGTTGCTATGTGATTATGTGGAGACTAAGAAAGTTTTATGTCATATTAAGATTCCTCAGATTAGCATTTTGCTTTCTGCGTCTGTTAAAGGGCCAGTAGTAGATGTTTTTTTTTCTAAAGAGCTAGCAAACAGTCCTTTGTGCAAGTTAAAATGGTTATTTAAAAACCCATTTTGGTGCTACTTACATCCTTTATTATCAAAAGCATGTCACATAGGCTTTGTGAGGCTAACTGTAATGCTAATGTGTGAATGGGGGATGGGAAGCCAAAAACGGTTTTTCATTCTCCATTTTAACATTAACTCAGCACAGCCTCCTTCATTTTAAAGTCTTTTTCTTGTTTTTTTTTTCACCAGTGAACGTATGTTAGAAAAGATTAGCAAGCTGTTTGACAGATATGATTGAACGCTGGTTGTTTTTATGACAAAGTGAGGCTAATTTCTGAGCGGGGAGGAACCAGAATACGTGCTGGTTTGAAATATTTACACTTAGTAAATTCCTCTCATAGTGTGAATAACTTCCACAGTTACCTGTCACTAATGCGTTAGCCAGCTCAAGAAGCCAGAGTCACGTGACTAGCCTAGCCTGTGTCTGACTAGAATAACAGCCCTTCCCCCAAATGACACACAGACACACTGTGCTGCAAGTGTAAAATGAGAGGCTTTACAAATTTTTTACTGATAAAACACCAAAATATTAGCTTTAGCATTGCTGGATTTAAAAGATTGATTTATGGCCGCAGTCTGTAGCAACAGATGCTATTGCGCAATGTTCCGCCATGCGTTTACTTGGAAAAAAAAGACTGTACTTTTCCAATACTCAAAGGTCTTGTGTGTTTTTCACCCCAAACATTCCTCCCTCTGTTCCTCAAATCCCACCCCGTCCTGCCCCCAGATTTCTCAAAGAGGACTTGTTTGGATCTATAACTATTACTGTTCACATCCAAGCATAGGGCTCGGATAACATCAGCGTCTTCCACGATAGGATGGCGCTAAGATGAGGGGCTGTCATCAACGGCCATTTTAAAGGCTTCCTGATCTCTGATTGGCTGTTGCTTTGGCTAATCAGGTTAGTGTGTGACAGCAGGACTGTCTGTTTTTGCACTGAGAAATCAAAATAGGCCTACCTCTCTTCCAACCCTCCTTAGTTATACACAAAAAGTGTTTGGCACAAAAATGAAATATAAAAAACAAGGAAAGGAGATGGTGTTGCCTGGCACTAAAATTAGCAGCTTTCCTATATGCTTGTTGCAACAGGTTGAGGTTTCTTTGCTCAAAGGCATATAGTTAGTTAAGGGGTGTGTCGCTGTGAGGGTGGATCTTGTTGCACAGTAACAGTTAGAAAAGCTGCAAACGTCTTCATTTCAAGCTTCAGTCTTTGGTCATGTATTTGTAGTGTAGTTCTCAATGTAACAGCTTATATTCTTGAATGTCAAGAGGATGATTTTGTAATAAAAGTTGTACTGAAACTTCGTGTGTGTGTGTGTGTGTGTTAAAGATAAAATATGCAAACAGTGTAGTCCAGAAGTTTGTGACCACTAGTAAAAATAATTCTATTTTGATTATTTTCATTACAAATCATATTATAACCATAGCATTTCAGTAAACTTTTTACTACAAAAGGCCAAAATCACACTTAATTGAGGGCCGTTAGTTGAAATTTTGCATTACATCTAACGGTATTATTGTACTTTAATGTTAAAACGAAAAGATGAATAAAGGTATGATTTGGCATCTCTGATCTAGCGAGATAATTTAATTCATGTACATTTTCTTGAGGTTTTACTGTATACTTTTAAACGGGTGTTACTTTACAATTTTACTGTAAACTTTACAACCTGTTTGTCTGTGAGCATTTAAAATGCATTTAAATTGATACCAATTTACTGTGCAGGCATCATAATTGTACTCCTCTGACTGACTTTATTGTGAGCATTTAAAAGTATAAATGCATTTAAATTGATACCAATTTACTGTGCAGGCATCATAATTGTACTCCTCTGACTGACTTTAAATAATTGTGATGGTCGTAATAAATCATCTGTTTCCTGTGGAAGAAATTACAGATGAGGCATTTCGAAAATGCCTTATATATCCAGGAACCACCTAAAATAACACAGACGCTGACCTATTAGTGAAACCATATTTAAAACCAGTTAGCGAGCAGTTATGCACTAAAATGAATGTCGATTTACTTTGCAGAAAGAAAATGTACTGCAGCCATGATTTTACTGTGTTTTGCCCAAGTAAAAGTTGCTTTCTCCATGCTATAGGGTGTTCTGGTTTGTTACCAGCATTGCTATATGCTGTTGCTAAGACGTTCTGAGGGTTTTTAGCATGTTGCTACATGGTTTTGTGTGGTTTTTAGCTCTGTAGATATGGCTCAGGCCAAATCAAACTACATACAAGAAACAGTAAAGTGATGCTTCCCTTAACACTGCCTAGGAAAACACCTAGAAATATTAAGGATTCACCTAACAATACCATTCATGCCGTCAGATTGTCTTCTTTGGAATCAAAGTGGTTCATTTAAAGAAGTGAGAATCAAATCCATAAAATGACGTCAACCAGAACTGCAGCTGGGTACAAGGTCACAGAGGGTTTGTTTGTCGGTTTGTTTTTTTGGTAATTGAAAATTACAGAAAATTGGTTTTTGGTAATTGAAATAAAATCATTGAATTTCACTGAATAAAAAATAAAATAAAAAATGAAAACCTAAAGCTAGAAACTAATGGAAATAAAATTTATAAATAAAAGTTTAAATTGAAGCACTAAAATTACTAAAACTACAAATGAAATGAAAATTAAACTATATAAATATTTGTTTAAATAAAATATACAAACACACTTAACAAAATTATTAAAATGAAATCTGAAAATATAAAAATCAAAGCTAATTCAAAATATTAATAAATACTATAAATAAATACTATAAAAATATACACAAGAATACATCAGGAAAATCAGGCCTGTTTAATGTACAAAGGCTACATTCTTGGATATATATGTTTTCTTTAAAGTCAAATAAATGTTTTTTTTTAATTGGTGTTAATCATTACTCTCAAATCCGATAAGGAGATATTTAAGAGGGGATGCCCAAAGGTCAACAATTTCTTCCTCTCTGACAATGAAAAACCCTATTTTAGTTTCAAAAGCTGGTGCATTTTTGACAAAAACAGTCCCGCTGATCAAACACCAGAACTCAAACCACTCCAGGCTGACAGAGACAGATCATCGGCATAAAACAGGGCCGTTTCTGGCGCATGATTTGCTCAATATTGGGTGTAGGAGGCACTTTATTGTTAGAGACGTCTGTGAGGAAGAGGAGAAGATATAGAGGGAAAGGGAGGAGGCATAAAAC